GAAAGAAATGGTTTTCCCTTAATGCTTTTCAACAAAGCCCTGCTGCATCTACCTTCCTCCCTTTTATGTGGCATTTTAAATCTTAAAGAGAGACAATTGTGATGTTTCAAATTCTAAGAAGGGGCACATGTGAGAATTCCCTTTCTTAAAATTAGTGTGTTACCAAGGAAGCTGGATAGAGTCCAAAGTTGATTGTGACAGATGGTCTTTCTTCAGTACCCTTCAAGCCTGCTAATGCCGGACTAATGAGCATGCTATGTCAGAAACAGACACATTTGTGTCTTTCCACAATGTCAAAATTTATTGAATAACAATAAATGTCAGCTTCATGGGCAGCAATAAGGCAAATAATCCCAATTTCCCTTGACAGCAACTGAGGTAAGCACAGATCCTTTATACCCATCTTAATTTCTAATATTAACTCTCAGCTCTCACATTACCCATATACTACACGTACACACACACACACATACACACACACACACACACTCACGTTACTGATGGCTACAAAGGGTTAAAAATGCCACAGCAGCATTCTAGGAATTCTAAAGAGGCATAAGTGGAAAATGGCAGAAGGCTGATAGATGTGCAAAGAAAGTTCCATGGAAATTTGATAGCAAAGTCTGCTGAAAGTCCACTGGAAGCCACAGTCAAGCTGCAGGGTCAGAGCTAAGCCAAGCCTCAGAGTTGAATCAAGTTACAGAAATAAGATATGAACCATAGAGGTCACAGGGACAAAGGGCAGGACAGGGTCCAGATAGACAAATGAGCAGATGGAGAGATGAAATTCATGCGAGTCTCATCACTATTGAGGACCACACCAAACTGACATTGTGGGGTAGCCAAGGGTTCCCTGCCTACCATTTGCTTCACACACATCAAGTGGCAAAATAACAGGTCGGTGGGGCTATCACCATCACAGTGTTAAGTGTCCTCTTCATGGGGTCCAGGGTCCATGTTGAACCCTTCCTCAGTCTGTGTTTAGTAAGTTCTTGAACCTGGTTGTCCTGATATGGTTTTAATATACCTTTGTGTTCATATGATCTCAATTTACTTGGATGAATTTATAATATGGCACTGTTTTTACTTTTTAAAAAAATCAGTTATCTGTCAGACTGTGCCTTGTGGGAGGTGCTAGACAGATGGTGGCTATGCCCAGCAAGATGTGGAGCCTCCTGTCTCTACCTTTCTACCCAAAACGAAGCCAAATGCTGCTTGTGAAAAAGTCTCTCAGGGAAAGGCAAGGCCTGAAAAGCAAATGTTTTCTACAGTATGGAGTAACAAGGCAGAGCACAGCCTGAACTAACTACCTAACAAGGGAAATGGATGGGCAGGCATCACACTTTCCAGGTTCCTCGCCTCTCCCTCGATGCCCCTCCACTGTACACATATGCTATGGCAAGAGTGAAGAATGCGCATATGTGCATACATGTGTGGGGCCTGTTCCACACTCCTGAAAATCCATGGAAGACACTTGATGTGTGTTCAAGAAAGAAAGAGGGGACACAACCCAAGTTGAAATGCCAGGGCAGGGGGGGGCAGAGGGGATTCCTAACTCCAGTTCAGCTTGGCTATTCTGGACAAAGAGTGCAAGGGACTTTAGGGCAAAGGCTCAGAGGAAGTCTAAATCTATGATTCCCAACAAAGGATTGCCTCAGAGGTGTTGGAGGCAGTGTTAGAATTTCAAGGAGCTAGAAGTTTTCATAGAAAGCATTTACTGATCCTTCAGTTCCCACACCAGGTGGCAGGACAGCTTTGCACTACTCAGCCAGTAAGGCCTGGGAAGTGAGCTGTAGGGAAATACGTTGCAATGTCCTCTTCCTGAAAAGGAGAACTCTGACTGGTAATGTTTTCCCATTCATACAGTGGCCAGTTCCAAGGTGTGCACATGCGTTGCGGAGATGGAACGGATGCACACAAATGGTTCTTATAAGCCAACATAAAAAGCTGGCACAAACCTCGGCCTGGGTGCTTTTCATTATTACAAACTCCCCTTTCTCTTTCCAAATACACCACAAACTTGCAGGCTAGATAATTCCTAGCATTGGAAAGTTCCAGGCTCCAGGGACACATATAAGCACTGTGTGATGGCCCTGGGTCAGGCTTCTGCAGCAGGCTACTAGCAGGCCTGGAGGAGTCAATAGCAACATATTCCTTCGGTTTTTCCCCCAAGCCTGAGCCTACCTAGGTCATCTCCCCTTAGCAGCAGTGTACCCATGAACTGCTACAATTTGAGAATGTAGGGACAGGCAGACAAGAGCTGGGATCACTCACTAAGGCTGTTGGCAGTGGCACCTGACAGTACTGAACTCAACCACATCATCTTTTCTAGAATGTTCCAAAATCTGGGCTCCTGGAGACAGCTTTGCACCAGCTGATGGTGCTTCCCAATGTTTTATCAGCACTGTAAAGCTGCCAGCCTGTCAAGATGGCCTGATTGCCAAGCTGACTGCTGCCCTGTTCAGCACCAGCAGGAGGAGCAGAAAGCAGAAATCTTGAGCCCAGTCATTCCTGACTGCCAGCAGAGTTTCCCCAGTGAGGGCTGACAGGGACCACATGGAGGAGCGACCACAGGGATGGAGCCAATGGTGGATGAAGGGCCCCCCTGACACTCCAGCAGGATAGCTCCCCTTTCTGCCATGAGCCTCACTCTCCAAAGGTCAGGTGGGAATTAGTAAGCAGGAATCACTCCTTGAGAACCCTGATGGAAGAGCAGTAGAGACCCAGGCTGATCACAGGATTGATGAAGCAAGTGATGCCTATTTTACTGATAGGTCCTTGGGTCAAATAAACTTTGATCAGTAACAACATATGGAAATTTCACTTCATTTTCCATTTTTTAAAGTTTTCCTTAACACAGGGTACTTCTGCATATATATGGGATACAGAGAAATATTCTAATACATGTGCACAGTGTGTAATGGTCAATTAGAGTAACAGGATGCTAAACCCTTGGGTGCTTTCAAAATCCCGTTTAGCTGTTTTCAAAATATTCGATTGCTTATTATCAACCACAGTTACCTTACTATGCTATATATAGAACATGGGAACAGCCTAGCTTCCAACCTCTGCCCTGTCCTGTTAACTGTCTTTCCTCTATCCCTCCCTCAACGCCTCCTCAGGCTCTGTAACCACTACTTGACTCTATTTCTGTAAGACCAGTTTTCTAAAGATTTCAAAGCATTGTTCACATGGAGGACTGTCATTGACCATAAGAAATATCACTTCCAGGAGCTATGGATGTATGATGGTAAAGTATTTGATTAGCATGTACCAAGCTGTGGGTTCAATCTGCCGCACTACATAAACCAGGTGTGGTGCTGCATGCTTGTATTTCCATCACTCAGGAGGTGGAGATAGGACTAGCAGTTGACAGCCATCTTTGGCTATATAAGGAGTTCTGAGGCAGTCTAGAATACATGAAACCTTTTCTTTTTAAAGATGAAAATGAACTTTCTATATTACCTACAAAGAAACCTAGAAGGCGTAAGGTACATGGAGAGAAGGACTAGCGACATCCTGGTGGCTACATCCTGGTAAGGACAGGCCTCAGAGCAGGGCCACTGCAAGGGAGCTGGGTCCCTTGTGTTCACTGAACATCTGGAGATGGAGGGACACTTTTCTCATTGCTTCACAGCAGCTCTGCAAAGTAACCATTAACTGCTTTCCCCTGTTACAGATGAGGAACTTGAGATCAGAGGGACAGTTTAACCTACCCAAGATCACAGAGCTAGGTTGTTACAACAAAGCCCATATTCCCTTTGGAGAAGATTCATTCAAAAGCAAAAAGTCAGTTTAAAAAATAGACCAAAAAAAGCTAATCGGAAAGAATGCAAAAGGTGTGCTAACAAACAGGGCATGAAAGAAGTCCTATAACAGCAAGCTATCTGGTGGTTCTTTTCCTTGCTTCAAGGCAATTCTTGGTAAAAACAGATCAGATCTCTGAGCACTTCCTCACTGGGCCCATTTTTCTTTTCTTTCTCCAAGTTGTGCCATTCTTCCAGCCTTCTCATGATGCTCACAGGTGCTCTAGGGAGTTAACTCTAGAGCTACCAATACCACATAAGGACCATGTGATATGGGCCAAGCTAAGCCCAACGTGGTACCTCGAGTCCTCATCTACAAAGTGATGGGTCGTTCTACTGGGAATTCACTGTATCCTCAGTACTGGCCTTGGAGTAGAAAGATTTTTGCATTACAGAACATCCATGTTACCATTACCAATTAACAGTCACATCCCCAAGATTCTCAGAGAACAAGAAAGAGAGACAGGGACACAGAGAGAAAAGAAAGAAAAATCTACTTTAAGGGATCCTGAGTCCACTTCCTCTTTCACTGAGAACTTTTATAAACTCAAAGCCATGAAGTTTGTAAATTTTTACTCTTAAGAGGACTGTCCTCCTCCCCAGAACCATCGAAGAGACTCCAAGGACAGAGATAGTGTTTATTGTAATTAGAGGCAGGAGTCCAGTGGTTGCAGGGTAGGCCAGGAGAAATGAGCTTCTTGGTTTCAATACCAGCTCTCATTCTCGCCATCTTGTCCTTCATCATGTTCCTTCACACTCTGTACCTCTGAGTCCTCACTGCTAAAATGAGAAGAAAGTACACATCAGGAAGTTCTGAATAGTAATTCCAATGCGTATGCCAACAGAGGTCACTTAGGATGTCTTACTTTGAAAATAGGGTCAGATCCTCCTTTGTGTTTGATCCACTGAATTCTCCTTACACACTCACTGCTGAAATGATTGAACAAATGATTTGTATACTCACTTGCTTATTTTATCCCCCTCTTAGACTGCAAGGTCCATATGGGAAGAAAGGACATGGACTCCCTTGCTCACCATTTTATCACAAGGTTTGGTAAACTCTAGGCACCAGTAAACAGATCATTTGGTTGAAGAAATGTAATCATTGCCTTATCTTTGTTGCCCAGAGCCCAATGCCCTTAATAGAAAAGTAAATAAAGAAGCCATCATCCCTGACCTGTAGGACAGGTCACAATGGAGTCTTCAGGCTTTGACGAGGACTACAACACAACCATCCAATTCAACTATGAGGACCTAATTGGATGCACGATGCTCAATGTGTGGGACTTTGGAGTCAGAGTCCTGACCCCCCTGTACTCCCTGGTGTTCATCATTGGCGTGTTGGGCAACTTACTGGTAATTCTGGTGCTCATCCAGTACAAGAGGCCCCGAAGCATGACCAGCATCTACCTGTTCAACCTGGCCATCTCTGACCTGGTCTTCCTCTTCACTTTGCCCTTCTGGATTGACTACAAGATGAAGGCACAATGGGTTTTTGGTGATGCCATGTGTAAGCTCTTCAATGGGTTTTATTATGTGGGCTTCTACAGTGAAATCTTCTTCATTATCGTGCTGACAATTGACAGGTACCTGGCCATCGTCCATGCAGTGGTCTCCATGCGGATCCGGACTGTGACCTCTGGCATCATCACCAGCATCATCATCTGGGCCCTGGCTTTCTTGGTTTCCTTTCCCACTTTTTACTTTTTCAAATCCAAACTGGAGTTTTCTCACTACTCCTGCACAACAGATTTATATGGGGAGAGCCTGAAGAAATTCATATGGTCTCAGGTTCTGTCTATGAATATCCTTGGTCTGATTTTGCCTCTGTTGGTAATGATCATCTGCTACAGGAGGATCATCCAGGTTCTACACAGAAGACCCAGTGAGAAGAAAGTCAAAGCTGTGCATCTGATATTTGTTATCACAATCCTCTTCTTCCTCCTCTGGACCCCCTTCAATCTGACTATATTTGTTTCTGCTTCTCAAGACGTCCTATTCACCAGTACCTGTGCAATGAACCAACAGATGGACTTGGCCCTGATGGTAACAGAAATGATCGCCTACACCCACTGTTGTGCCAACCCAGTCATCTATGTCTTCATGGGGGAGCGGTTCCGGAAGTACCTACAACAACTGTTCCAGAGGCACGTGGTTGTGCCCCTGGCACAATGGCTACCCTGCCTTTCTGTGTATCAGCAGGAGAGGTCTGGTTCCATGTCTCCATCCACAGGGGATCATGAGCCCTCTACTGGCTTCTGACTCTGGTTGAATGCCAACCAAGGCCAAGGGGAGAGTGAGGAGATGATGTGGCTGTCCCAAATAGATACTGACAGCTGGCACAGTGAGGACGCCTAGTCTTGTGGAATCAGAGGGAGTTACAGGCGCTTAGGTTTAAGTCACCTTTAGGGCTTTGAGGTTTTCCATGAACTTCTCGCTGTTGGAAAGGAGATGAATGAACAAAATGGGACATTCCAGAGGCTGAGAAAATGGGGCCAGGGAAGGGTTTGGGCCCAATAAAGGTAGGGTCTATGGCTGTTGGCACTGGCAAGCAAAGTCATTATTCTCACCTAACCCAAGACCACAGTGTGTGTGGAACTGGTGATGTCCACAGTTGTATCCCCTCTGAGGCTAGAAGCCAATGGCAGTCCATAGATGCACCCTCCACCAAATACCCCCACTCAGGGTTGTGGCTCCTGGAAACCCTGGGGACTCAGGGTGAAAGTACTTGATGTCTACTTGGGGACTGGTATTAGCTGTAAGGTAGGAAAACCTTTAGAGAGAAATTTACATTTATCAAAATCAAAGATTTCTAGCAACTAAACTTGTAGACTGAAGGACATTCTCCTTCTTGATAATCTTAAGGGAAGAGGTTCCTTCATAATATATAATACGATATATCATATTACATTAGCTTCTGTGTTAGTTTTCTCTGATTCCACAGGTCCCACGTGTATAGGAGGAAATATTTCCCAGTGGTTTCTCTGTGCCTCCTCTGGGATCATTTCTACCAAGCTTGACCATGGACTTTGGTCTACCAGGATACTCCAGCTTTCAGTGGCTGCCCCCTGCCTCCCCTGGAAGAGCTCACTTGACCTGATAACTTCATTTACTCGTGCTGAAAAAGAAATAGACTTTGATTTTGTAATTTCTGCTCATTGCAAATGACATCTATCACTGCGGTATCTACACATTACCTCATTTATATTAAACTTTGTTGACTAGAAATCCTTCATTTTGATGTGATAAATTTTATCATAATTGTTTTCATTTTGCTTAGTCTACTTAAATGTCATTTAAGGGCTCCATCGGCACATCTACTCTGTTTTGTCTTATATTTTCTTCCATTACCATAACATCTCATTTCTTATTTAGATCTTTAATCTAGCTGTAATATATCATGTAACACCTAAGAGATGCATTATCTCTGCCTTTGAAATGGAGATGGTGGTGACATTTACCTGATGTGAGGACTAACCGACTGTCAGTGCAAAGTGTTTATGTAAATATCTACCACAGAGAATCCTATCAGTGACTGTATGATTAAAGTAAGTTCATTTAGTTATAGTGTCTGTTAGTGATATATTAAGATACGGCAAAATAAAAAGGAGATTCTACTACTTAAGGTTTCAGAAACACCAACCAGAGAGAACAGATTTCTATTTCTCTGTGATTAGAAGCCTCGGTGTCAACAAGGGCAGTGAGAAATGCTGATGTTGGCTGATTTAGCATTTCCTTCTCTGTCAGGTTTATGTGCTGTGCAAGGATTTGGGTTTGGCAACACTGCCAACTCAAAAATTGCCCAATATCTACTTTTGGTCCTTTCACTTTCCTGTCTCGCTCTCTGGGTAAAAGCTGAGCAACAGTGAGAACACTGAAGCTCAGGCAGCCCAAAAGGAGCAGAGTCATCTAAGAGGAGTCAGCACATTGCTGTTCTGTGGCACTAGGTGATATCCCCCTGGGAGCGTATTCCTGAAAGCATTGCTCGGCATGCTGCCTGTGCCCTGCTATACCTAGATAGTTGAGAGCACATCGAGGACCACCTTTGCTCGAGTCACACACCTGCTACATGCCCACCCTGGAACAGCTTGGTCTCTCCACTTCCATGGACAAATACCTTTTAAAATATGTATTGGTGACTTTTATCATTGTTGTGACAGAATAGAAAGAAGGAAGGAAGGAAGGAAGGAAGGAAGGAAGGAAGGAAGGAAGGAAGGAAGGAAGGAAGGAGGGAGAGAAAGAAACGGGGAGGAGAGGGAAGGAGAGGGGGAGGGGAAGGGGGAGGGAAAGGAAAGGAAAGGAAGAAGACATTTAAGGAAGAGTAGGTTTTGGCTCACAGTTTATGGTTACCATCCATCATGGTGGGGAAGGAAGGACAGCAGGTGTGTGCAGTGGCTGATCACACTGAGTTCACAATAGGAAAGCATAGAGAGATGAAGGCTAGTGTTCCACCTGCTTTCTCTTTTTTATTTAGCCTAGGACCTCAGCCTATGGAATGATAACAAGTCAAATCAGGGTAGACTGTCCCACCTCAGTTAAACGTCTCTGAAAATGGCCTCACAAACATGTCCTGAAGTTTGTTTCTAAGATGACCCTAAATCCCATCAAGATAAAAATCAACTCCATGCCTTGCCAACTTGACACCAAAAATATCACTTTTAAATCACAACATTTCAGCCCTGAACCATAACGTCTCATGATCATTTCATACTAAACAGAGCATTTAGTCTATTTCCAGCAGTCTCTGGATTTTAACAGTTCTGTAAAACAAGCATTATATAGGTGATACTGCCAAGTTCCGTTGCTAGCTAGAGAGCTATCCTGGCCCCTTCCACAGCTACAGTGACCTCTGTAAACACTGGTGGTTTAACCTAAGAAGAATCTTGTCTAACATTATTTTCTAGTCAAGAAACTCTTTGGCCTTCTCAGTTCAGGCTCTTCCCACTTGAATGAATTGTGTTTTCAAAAGCTGAAGGTTTAATGGTTGGGTTCTTGCCATCAAGTCATCTTTCCTTTTCTCCCAGGCCAGAGCATGAGCTTTCTCTTTAATGGTGCTGAATCCCTTTAACAATCACAGCTGTTTCCCCCACACCTGCCATGTCTGTAACTTTAAACTGTTCATACTCTTTTTCTCACCAAACAGAATGGTAAAGTTCTCTCACTATAGACCTGCATGAGATCAGAGAGAATCAATCATGCCCCCTCCATACTATCCTGTTTTGAAATTCCCTCCAGAAAGCAAGTTAGTCCACTAAATTTCAGTTCAGCCACACTCAACCTCTCAGGGCACAGGCAGAACAGAACCAGATTCTTGGCAAAATACAACACATATGTCCTCGGGCATGTTAAAACCTCACGAACCTGTCCTCCATTGTCTGTATTTCTTTTCAGCATTCTGGTCTTCTAGACTCCCAACACAATGGCCCATTAAACTCAGCTTACAGCATTCTAGAGTTTCCCTAGCCCAAAGCTTTAAACTCTTCCACCTTTCTCCTCAAACCCAAAAGCCACATGGTCAGGTTTATCACAGCAACAGCTCCACGCCTTAGTTACAGTTTCCTATACTAGTTATTTTTCTCATTTTGTGAGAAAAATATCTGACAAAAACAACATAGGAAGGAAGAGTGTATTTTGGTACATGGTTTGAAGATACCATATTGTTTGGTTTGGGGGGGTTGGGGGTTTTTTGTTGTTGTTGTTGTTTGGGGTTTTTTGTTTTGTTTTGTTTTGTTTTTTGGTTTCTTTGGTCTTTTTGAGACCAGGTCTCCCTGCAGCCACAGCTGGCCTAAGACTTGCTATGAAGACCAGACTGGCCTCAGTCTCACAGATATCTGCCTGCCTCTCTACCTCCCAAGTGCAGAGATTAAAGGCATGTACCACCACACCCAGCACGATGATGGTATCTTCAAGATAGCATGTTCATAAGAGCATGAGGCAGCTGGTCACACTGTGTCCACAGTCTGGAATCAGAGAGAAAGAGATGAGTTCTGTGCTTAGCTTCCTTTATCCATTTAATTCAGTCTGAGAACCCAGACCAGAAGATGGTGCCACTCACCTTCAGAGTAGATCTTCCCCCATCACTTAAATCTTTCTGGAAACATCCTGTCAGATATGCCTAGATGTTTGTCTCTACAAAATTCTGAATCCCATCCATTGACAAGGCAAAGTGACCATCAAGATTAAGCACGGAGGCCATGCAAGTTTCAGTCTATAAGATGTTTGGAATCCATCAACAGTTGTTCTCAATACAACTAAATTATAGAAACTTCTAAGTCTCCTTTGCTAGCTGTCCTGCCAAGAGAACAAGAGAAAACAAATTCCCAGAAACCAAACATTGGAAAGGAAAAGGAGAATTTGCCCATAAATTTTCTTTTTCTATTTATTTATTATTGTATATATTTGGGTGCATAAAAGGGAAAAAACAGGAGGATTCTGCAGGATTCTTTAAGAAAAAAATAGAAGGAAAGAGATCTAGACGGAAGAACTGTCTATATTTGGAGAAAGACCAGAATTGGTAGCAAAAACTCTGGGTTACCTTGTAACTACTTCCACAAAGCTGAGTTGGTTATATACCACCTGTGTTTCAGTAAGTAATATTCCTTGAAAATTAGTCTGTGTTTTTTCAGATCCTATAGAGAGAAAGAGAAGAGAACAGGCCCCTTCAAAGAGAAAGTAGCAACATTGAACAAAATTCAAAACTGCATGTGGAACATTAGGTCAAAGTCCCAGAGAAAGTCTAGATCTGTGATTCCCAAACTTCTGTTGTCTCTGGATTCTATGCAGCATTAAAACAGATTGTGGAACCTCACCAGAATACCTGAGTCAGTAGACATTAGATGGGATGCAACAGTTTGCCTTGCCAGAAAGTTCCCAGGGAATGCTGACATTGCTGGCTCAGAGACCTTGTCTTGAAAACTACTTCCTGTCTTCCATAGCAAGTTCACCCTTCCCTGGTCCAGAGTACTTCCCTAGTCATTATATAAATTATTCTTTACTATGGTCACTTACCTAATTGCCTGTGATCCTCCCTAAGCCATGAGCTCCTGAAGAATGGTACCTGACTCTTTTGTTCACAGTTAATCTTCCAATACATGATGGAATGTAATCTTTTCAGCAAGTATATTTTCCTGACCTGTCTCCTGCTGAATAGATTCCACTGGACCCTAGAACAGGCTGGAAGGCTGTGCAGGACTAGAGTCACTGACTGTGACTTTCACCTTAGACTGCACAAAGAGGACCTCAAAAGCCTGTGTTCTCTCTCGAAACTGATCTGCCAACAAAGCACTGAAAATAGTCAAAACTTGCCTTGACTTTCTTGTGACATATGTATGATAAGGATTTATTTGCCCTTTTGATAACTGTTTTTATCTTAACAGCCTATAAACCTCTACAGGGCATCTTAGAAACCACCATAGGATCTCACTTACTACAGAAAGGTTCCTGACAAGTGAGATGACTTCAAGGGTAAAAGCACTCACTGCTCAAGCCTGATGACCTGTGAGTTAGATCCTCAAATCCCACAGTGGAAGGAAGTTCCTAAAAGTTGTCCTCTGACCTCTACATGCAAGCTGTGGCATGTATATACCGTGGCATATGCACATAGATACATCACATATACATACACTTGCAGTAACAATAAATTAAAATTTGCTAACTTTTGTGTTCCTAGATAGGAATAAATATGTCAAAACATTTTTTCTTGATCTTTTAAATCTTCTGAACAATGTAACATCAAAAGTCACCAAAATCCTATATATAGACATTGTTAAGAGACTTAAGGGGCCTCAGATCCTTAAGTAGCACAGTTGAACACTTGCCCAGTTTGCACAAAGCGCTGGGTTAGATCCCCAGCAACACACAAAGCATGCTGGAACAGGCCTAGAAATCCAGCACTCAGGAGATAGAGACAGAAGGATCAAGAGTTCAAAGCAAAACTCAGTTATGTGAGAACTTGCATCAAAAATCATCAACAATAGTGAGATGACTGGGGGTAAAGTACTTGCTGCACAAGCATGAAGACCTGAGTTCTGATCCCAGCACCCACATAAAGCCAGAGGTAATAGTGTGCATCTGTAATCCCGGTGCTCCTGCAGGGACTCAGGAGGCAGGGACAGACTCCTCAGAAACTCATGGGTCAGCTGACTTGATGTATGTAGCAGTGAACAACAGAGACCCTGCCTCAAACAAGGCGGAAGGGGAGGACCAATGCACATGCTGTGGCCTGCTCATGCCCCACTCACACATACCTGCGCTCTCACCCAGAGAGAGACAGACAGACAGAGAGAGAGAGACAGAGACAGAGGTTAAAAATAATAATAACAATCCCACAGTGACTGCTAACTGGGCTGAGCATGTGGCACATGCCTATAATCCCATGATCCAAGCACATGTGAGGCAGAACATGAGCATGAGTTTGCAGCCAGCCTGGGCTACATAACAAAACTTTGTCTCAAAACAAGTTATCTTTTAAAAAGACTTTTAAATACAAGTCTCTCTCTTGAGCAGCCACACCCACTCTAAGGCATGTGCTACTGTCCCCTTACATGTCTCTTCCCTCCTTGATGCCTGCCCTTAAGTTTATGTGCCATGAGTTCCTATATCAGGAACAGAGGACATATGTGTGTCTTTCTGCAATGTCATATTTTATTGAATAAACAATAAATTCATAAGCTGTATGAGTTTGTTCACTGTAATTTGCCAAGTAACCCTAATATTGCTTTGATAGCTGGACATTGGCAGATTGTTTAGTTCCAATCTTGTGTGTTTTCTTGTGTACAGGTGCATGTGTGTGCATGCATGTGGAGGCCAGAGCACAAGCTTGGCATTCCTAGTGGAACCATCTACTTTGTTTTTTAAAATATTTTATTATTTTTGTTTTATTTGTATGAGTGTTTTGCCTGCGTGTATGTAAATGTACCGTGTGCATGCCCGTGCCTGCAGAGACCAGAAGAGGGTGTCAGATCCCCTGGAACTGGAGATATGGACAGTTGTTACCTGCCATGTGGGTGCTGGGGATCAAATCCAGGTCCTCTGGAAGAACAGCAAGTGTTTTTAACTGCTGAGTCATCTCTCCAGCCCCCACCTTTTTTTTTAAAGATTTATAGTTATTTTTATTTATGTATATATGTGTCATTCTGTGTGAATGAATGCTACATGTGTGGGTGACTATGGAGGCCAGAAGAAAACAAAGAATCCATTGGAGCTAGAGTTCCAGAAAGTTGTGAGCCACTCAACATGGATGCTGAGAAAGGAACTCTGGTCCTCTAGAATAATTACTCAGCTACTGAGGAGTCTCTCTAGGCCTGCCACCTTGTTTCTGAAATAGGATTTCTCGTGGCCTGCAGTACACTAAGTAGGCCTTGTTGGCTAGCCAGTGAGCCCCAGAGAGCTGCCTGTCTCCTCTTCCACATCATTAGGATGACAAGCTCATGCCAACATGCACAGCTTTTAATATGGATTCTGAGGGCTCAAGCTCAGGTCTTCATGCTTGAAAGACAAGTGCTTTCCCAACTGAACTCTCACCCCAACCCTTTTATTTCAATCTTAATTACTTATATTAACTCTCATGTCACACATTAACACTTCACACACCACTATACAAATATGTAGGTTACAGGATGGCAGAGAAAGTGTTAAAATGGCTTCAGATTCCAGAGAGGCTATCTGAATGTCCAGAGGCAGAGAGCTGATAAAGGTATAAGGTAAAGTTTATAGGGAACCAGGTAAGATGTCTTCACTGCAGGCTTATAGCTGTTCAGAGGCAGAGAGGTCAAATGGAGGTCAGGATAACAGGCCATTCCTGGGAGAGTTTGAAGTGTGCTGAGCATCACTGCATTTGAGCTGGAGGCCAGGACAGAAGCAGGAGTCCTTCACTGCGGTGGTTTTCTTGAACCAGGCTTGAGACAAGTGATCAAGTAACTAGTCAGGATGCTAGTCACATTTCAGTCTTGGGATGCTACTTCTTTTACAGCCCCAGGTGAGGCTTCTGTCTGGTGTGGCTGATAAGCTCTTTTGTGTCTGGTGTGTCTGATATGATTTGGTATGTTCCCAAGTGTCATTATTGGAATAAACAATTTTCAGTTTGTACCTCTGGACTGCAGGTACATGGGGGTCTTTTCTCACTGTATAAGATGCCATTGTTCAAGGCTAGGCGCTGTCTGAAAGCTGACACAACAGAGCAACCCACAACAGGACCCAGTGAGGAGTTCCTGTATGAAAAAATGTTCTTAAACTCCAAATCCGCTTCAGACCAACTCATTCTGAAATTCTTTTCTGTGGATTATTCAAGACCTCAGCTTCATAGGTTGTATAACCTGAAATGTTGAGTTGTAGTTTCTGTTCCGCTGACCAGGAGACATTTACTTTTTTTCAACTTTTTATTGAATTTTTATAATTTTTCATGTTATTTGGATCACCTCCCCTCTCCGCACCTCCTCTTATTGCCCCACTGCCTAATTTAGTGTACTCTATTACGGAGAGAAAGAGAGAGAGAGAGAGAGAGAGAGAGAGAGAGAGAGAGAGAATAAAGCCTACAGAGTCTAATTTGTGTCCCCAAATGTCCTTCAGTGTGGTTCCATCCACTGGAGTCTGGTTAACCTACTTAGAGTTCCATCCTTAAAAGAGACTGTCTCGCCCCCTCCCAGCCTTTGTCAAAAGTTCTTTAGGTCGAGTTGGGGTTTCTTACCCGCTTCCAGGGGACCTTTTCAAAGCACATTCTCATTTATAGTTTCTGAAATGTTGTTTTCCAGTGAGGATGGTTGGGAGACACCCCACTTCACAGATATATGAGCACAAGGGCAGAGAAGGCGATGAGGATATCACAGCCTTTGTGTATGACGCGTTGACCACATGCTCCCAGACACAGTCAACATTTCTGCACTCTCATGCTGGATATATGTGAGGGGAAACTACTCTGTAGGGTTTAGTGGAGGAGACTCGGAAGTAGGGGAAGAGGGACAGCATGCAATAAGACTTCGAGCAGGGTTGGAGTAGGTAGAGGACCCCAAAGAGAAGAGGCTGCCTCTCTATCTTCTCATTCATCAGCCAGATGGCTTTGAGGAACTGGACAGGGAGTTCTGGTTTAAACCTTTCCATTTGCAATCTTTAATAAAAAAAAAAAAAAAACACTGATCACAAGAACCCTGTGCCCTACCCCCATGCTTATACACCTACATTACACACCCATGCATGTCCAATTGCTCCATGAGTCCTGGAAATAGTTCACTGTCACCCACATAACCTAACTCAACTCCACCCAGCCTCACCCCACCCAGTCCCTTTAGGGCAGAGCTCCCTGGGAGAAGACTGGAACACGATTTGAACTGTCCCAGAGTGGACAGAGAAAATGACTGTAGAGAACTTGACTCCCAGGAACTGGCCACTGCTGGGCGGAGCAGCGCTTCATGGGCAGCCAACCATACAAAAAGAAGAACTTTATCCTCTTCTTGTTATTCTGAAAGACTCTGAAACCAGAGTCCGATCTCCATCATCTCACAGGAAACTGAGTACTTCCTACTTGGTCAAGACCTTGAACCTTGAATTCATAAAGACTCTCAAAGCCTCAGCTACAAAGGTCGTGTGGACGAAGTCCCCTGAAAGCAGAGTAAGTGGTGCCTATCTTTCTTGTGCCGTCAGCCTGAAGGGTGGTCTTAAAGGCGTGAGTGATGCTCAGGGCTCCTCAACCCTGGGCAATGCTTTTAGGACATCACAGATTCTATGTAGCCTGTTGCTGCACCTGTAAACCAGTTACTACTGGACCAATGCTGAGGATGCTGGGTGGATTCCTACATCTAGGTGTTCGGGTAGAAAACTTTTTTTTCTAGAAAGTGTTCTTGAGCACTTGTTTGTTGATGAGTGATTAAGAAAGCCAGCCAGTAATAAAGAGACAAGTGTCTTCACAGATAGTTACTTAAAGAGACTCCTTGTCAAACTTCCTCACATAAAGTTGTGTCTCGGGACACTTCCACCGGGTCCTCACAGTGAAGCAGGTTGGTTTTATACCACTGCTTCCACTGAGAGTCTTGAAGAGCAGTACAGTTTTAAAGAAGACAAAGAAACCAATAGATTTTCATAGCTGACCTTTTCTGCTCTTTGGTTCTCATGCCAAATTGCAAAAAGTTCTGTGGCTACTCAGCCGGCGAGATCTGGGCTGTACACTGCTAGGAAATATGTGGCAATGACCCCTTCCTGAAAAGGAGAACCCTGACTGATAATGTTTGCTGATTTCTCTGTAGTCAGTTGCAAGTTACTCATGTGTTCTATGGAGATGGAACACATTGATACAAATGGCTCTCATAAGGCAACATAAGCAGCTGGAACGAACCTCGGCCTGGGTATTTTTCATTATCACAAACTCCCCTTTCTCTTTCTAGGCATGCCACAAACTTGCAGGCTAAAGGACTCTAGTTAGTACTGGAAGGTTCCTGGCTCCAGGAATACACATGAGCACCATGTGACGGCCCTGGGCCGAGCTTCTGCAGCAAGCTGCAGCAGCCTTGGCAGAGTCAATATTAACATGCTCCTTCAGTTTCTCCCCCAAGCCCCAGCCTAGGTCATCTCCCCTTAGCAGCAATATGCCCAGGAGCTGCTACAGTCTGACAATTCAGGGACAGCAGACAGAGCTGGGGGTCACTCACCAGAGCTATTGACCCTGGCACCTGACAATGCTGAACTCAACCACATCATCTTTTCTAGAATGTTCCAAAATCTGGGCTCCTGGGGACAGCTTTGCACCAGCTGATGGTGCTTCCCAATGTTTTATCAGCACTGTAAAGCTGCCAGCCTGTCAAGATGGCCTGATTGCCAAGCTGACTGCTGCCCTGTTCAGCACCAGCAGGAGGAGCAGAAAGCAGAAATCTTGAGCCCAGTCATTCCTGACTGCCAGCAGAGTTTCCCCAGTGAGGGCTGACAGGGACCACATGGAGGAGCGACCACAGGGATGGAGCCAATGGTGGATGAAGGGCCCCCCTGACACTCCAGCAGGATAGCTCCCCTTTCTGCCATGAGCCTCACTCTCCAAAGGTCAGGTGGGAATTAGTAAGCAGGAATCACTCCTTGAGAACCCTGAAGGAAGAGCAGTAGAGACCCAGGCTGATCACAGGATTGATGAAGCAAGTGATGCCTATTTTTAATCTATATTTTATTGAATTTTTGTGCATTTCATACAATACATCTTAATCATATTTATATGCCCTCCTCTCTCTGCAAGCCCCCATACCTCACCCACTGTATTTCATGCATTCTGTCATATATGTTAAGGCCTATTGAGACAGGTTTGTGTACCCAGATGTGCCTCAGTGTGAGTTCATCCACTGGAGCCTGTTCAGTCTATCTAGCACCACTCCCTTAAAGAACACCAACTCACCAAGCAGTGATCAGCTGCCAATAGCTCCCCAGCTAAGGTTGGGGCCTCCTGCCCATTTTCCTGGCTCTATTCTTGTTTTTGTCTGATTGAATTCGCATAGGTCTTGTGCATGTTGTCATCATTGTTATAAGTTCATATGAGTAAGTTCTCAGAAGTCTGGAAGACTCTGTTTCCTTATGGTCATGCACCACCCTTGGCTCTTACAATCTTTACACTCCCTCTTCCCCAGTGGTCCCTGAGTCCTGGGTGGCTGAGGTTTAATATAGGAATCCTATTCCAGGGACACACACTGTGCAATCTCTTATTCTCTATACTTTGGCCATTTGTGACTTTCTGTGTTCACTGCCCTCTGTTACATGAGGAAGCTTCACTGGTGAGAGTTGAGAAATGCATTAGTATTCTCTCTACCCCTTGTTCATGTTCAGTGAGCCTTAGGTGTAGAGGTTCCATTGTAGATATGTCACTTAGGCTGGGTATCTCTTATTCTATTCTCTGTATGTGACCAGTTGTGGAACTCCATAGTAGTCTCCACTTGTTGCAAAAAGAGACTTCTTTGATGAGTGGTGACTGGAATACTTGTCTGTAAATATAAGGATCCATATTTAGCATACAGAAAGATATTACATTTGTCTAGGGATATGACAAACATAGGGTTTTCTCTAGGATCTATGATCTCTCCAGTCATGTGTATTTGGCTATGTTCTCAGTACCACACATGAGATCTTTCCCAAGTGAGTGGGCTTTAAGTCCAATTAGATAACTGTTGATTACCACCAAGACAAAAGTGCCACTACTGCGCCACTATAGTTTGTTGTGTGGTTGTTGTTGAGGTTATTAAGTTTTAAAGCTGGCTGTATCACAGATTTTTCTACCTTAGAAGTTTACACAGTGTCCTCTAGAGCTATGAGAGCTGGTCTTCAGAGAAGATGCTTCCAGATCAGTTCCATCTCCATTGCTCAAAATTCTGTGTCCAAAGTATGCCCTGTCTTCAGCAGCAGGAGGGTCTTACCTTCAAAGTCTGGGAGGTACTCAAGGACTGTGTCAATAGCCTATGTTATTTTAGGAGTCTCCTGGATTACCCTAACCAACAACTCAAAGGAAGGGTATATAACAAGAAACAGTGCCAGACAGAAGCAATACCTATTTTTCCTGCTAAGCATTTAGGTCAAATAAACCCTGGTCAGTAACAACATACGGAAATTTTCACATTAATTTCCATTTTTTAAGTTTTACTTAACACAAGGTGTTTCTGCATATTTCTGGAATTCAGGGGAATATTCTAATACACATGAACTGGGTGTAATGGTCATTAGAGTAATGGATGCCAGACCCCTGGGTACTTCCAAAATCCTCCTTAGCTGTTTTTGAAATATTCAATTGCTTGTTGTCAACCATAGTTACCTTACATGGGGACAGTCCAGCTATCCAGCCTCAGCCCTGTCCAGTTAACTGTCCTTCCTCCACCCTACCCCCAATCCTTCTCAGGTTCTATAATCGCTACTTGACTATTTCTGTGAGACCAGCTTTCTAAAGATTTCAAAGCATTGTTCACATGGAGGACTGTCATTGACAGCCACACTACATAAACCAGGTGTGGTGCTATATATCTGTATTTCCATAACTCAGGAGGTAGAGATGGAGTTAGCAATTCAAGGCCATCTTTGGCTATATAAGGAGTTCTAGACAGTCTAGACTACATAAAACCTGATCTTTTTAAGAATGAAGATGATTGGGCTGGAGAGATGGCTGAGAAGTTAAGAGCACTGACTGTTCTTGCAGAGGACCCAGGTTCAATTCCCAGCACACATGGCAGCTAACAACCATCTATAACTCCAGTTCTAAGGGAATCTGACACTCTCTTCTGACCATCACAGGCACTGCACAACACAAGTGCACTTACATACATTCAGGAAATACACTCATACACATAAAATGAAAACAAATTTTTAAAAATTTAAAAAGAATGAACATAAGCAGCTGGAGAAATGACTCAGTGGTTAAGAGCACTGGCTGTTCTTACAAAAGACCCAGGTTTGGTTCTCAGCACCCACACAGCAGCTAACAACCTTCCATAACTCCAGTTCCAAGGGATCTGACACCCTCTTCTGATCTCTGCAGGCATTGTACAACACATATACATTTACGTATATGCAGGCAGTATACACATATGCATATAATAAAATAGAAATAATAAAAATTTTTAAAAGAATGAAAATGAACTTTCTCTGTTACTACAAAGAAACCTAGAAGGAGGCAGGGTACATGGAGGGTAGGACCTGGTAAGGACAGGCCTCAGAGCAGGACCATTACAGGGGAGCTGGGTCCGTCATGTTCACTGAATGTCTGGAGTTGGAGGGACATTTTCCTCACAGAAGCCCTGTAAGGTAAATATTCACTACGTTCCCCTGTTGAGGAACTTGGTTTCAGAGGGACAGGTTAACTCATCCAAGGTCACACAATTAGTATGTTACAACAAAGCCCATGTTGCCTTTGGAGAGGATTCATCACAAAGCTATATAGAAAGAATTCAAAAGATGTGCTAACGTACAGGGTGTGGAAAAAGTCCTGCAATGGCAAGCTATCTGGTGGTTCTCTTGTTTGTTTCTAGGCAATCTTAGGTAAAATAGCTCAGATCTCAATAGAATCCCATCTGCCATCTGGCCACTGTGTGGCATCACCTCATGGATCCAGGCTGTTCTGAGCTCTTCTCTGAGCCCATTTTCCTTTTCTGTCTCCAAATCATGCCCTCCTCCCAGCCTTCTCATGATGCTCCTGAACAGCATGTTCTACTGAATTAACTATAGAGCTACCTATACCACATAAGGACCATGTGATATGGGCCAAGCTAAGCTCAGCCTGGTGCCTCGAGTCCCCATCTACAAAGTGATCGGTTATCCTACCATGAATTAACTGCTGACCTTAGAGTGGAATAATTTTTACATTATAACACATCCATGGCTCCCTTATCAAATGGAAGTAGCATTGCCTATTCTTCCAGACAACATAAAGGAAAACAAATCCTACTTTGCAAAGTATGAACTTAGTAAGCTTTTTTATTCTCTTTTTTTTTTTTTTTTTTTTTTTTTTTTTTTTAAAAAAAAAAAAAAAAAAAAAAAAAAAAAGAGGACGATAAATCTTTCACTGTGATATATCAAAATAATGAACTCACAGATATCTGCCTGCCTCTGCCTCTTCAGTGCTGGGAATTTTTTCACTCTTGACTAAGACTGTCCTGCTTCTCAGGGCCTTTGTGGAAACTATAGGAACAGACTCATCACTGATTACAGGCAAGATAGGCCAATATTTGCAGGGCTGGGTCTGAGCAACATGCTGCTGGGTTTCTACTCCATCTTTTTCTCTGTGCCTTGGACCACTTGTCTACATCCTCCAGCACTCTGCACCTCTGCATCATCACCTCTAAAAGGGGACAACATACCCCCTACTAAGTCCAAACCTCAGTCCTTTGGGTGCACTTAGGAATCCTTAGTTATTAACAGTGGGGTAAGATCCCCTTTTCTATTTTATCCAATGAACTTCTCACTGCTGAAATAATTGAATGAATGATTTACACATTCATTCATTTATTTTTGTTCCCCTCTTAGGCTTCAAGGTCCATGTAGGCAGAACAGACGTAGATTCCCTTGTTCACTATTTCATCCGCAAGGTTTGGTGAATGGTAAGCACCAGTAAACAGTTCAGTTGGTTCAAGAAATGTAACCACCCATTGCCTTGTCTTTATTTCCCAGAGCCCACTGCCTTTAATAGCAAAATAAGTAAAGAAGTCATTGTCCCTGACCTGGAGGAGAGGTCACAATGGAGTCTTCAGCCACCACAGAGGACTACTATTCAACCACCGAATATGACTATGGGGACTCAACCCCATGCGAAAAGACAGATGTGCGGGCCTTTGGGGCTGGCCTACTGCCCCCCCTGTACTCCCTGGTGTTCATCATTGGTGTGGTGGGCAACATACTGGTGGTACTGGTGCTCATACAGTACAAGAGGCTCCAAAGCATGACCAGCATCTATTTGTTCAACCTGGCCATCTCTGACCTGGTCTTCCTCTTCACTTTGCCCTTCTGGATTGACTACAAGTTGAAAGATGACTGGGTTTTTGGTGATGCCATGTGTAAGCTTCTGTCTGGGTTTTATTACCTGGGCTTGTACAGTGAAATCTTTTTCATTGTCCTGCTGACAATTGACAGGTACCTGGCCATTGTCCATGCAGTGTTTGCCCTGCGGGCTCGGACTGTCACCTTTGGCATCATCACCAGCATCATCACCTGGGCCCTGGCCATCTTGGCTTCCATTCCTGGCTTGTACTTTTTCAAAGCCCAGTTGGAGGTCTCTCACCATACCTGCAGCCCTCATTTTCCCTACGAGAGCCTGAAGCAGTGGAAGCGATTTCAGGCTCTAAAGCTAAACCTCCTTGGACTGATTTTGCCTCTGTTGGTCATGATCATTTGCTACACAGGGATTATTAACATTCTACTCAGACGACCCAGTGAGAAGAAAGTCAAAGCCGTGCGTCTGATACTTGTTATCACGATCCTCTTCTTCCTCCTCTGGACCCCCTACAATCTGACTGTATTTGTTTCTGCTTTCCAAGACGTCCTATTCACCAATCAGTGTGAGCAGAGCAAACAGCTGGACATGGCCATACAAGTGACTGAGGTGATCGCCTACACCCACTGTTGTGTCAACCCAGTCATCTATGTCTTTGTGGGTGAGCGGTTCCGGAAGTACCTACAGCAGCTGTTCCAGAAGCATGTGGCTATGCCCCTAGCAAAATGGCTACCCTTCCTCTCCATAGACCGACTAGAGAGAGCCAGTTCTGTGTCTGCATCCACAGGGGAGCATGAGCTCTCTGTTGGCTTCTGACTCAAACCCCTGGATGCCAACCAAGGCCCAGGGAAGAATGAAGAAACAGTGTGGCTCTCCCAAACAGATACTGACAGCTGGCATAGTGACGACACCTAGTCTTGTGGAGTCAGAAGGAGTTGCAGGTGCTTAGGTATAAGTTACCTCTCAAACTTTGATGTTGTCCACAAACTTCTCCCTATTGGAAAGGAGATAAATGAACAAAGAGACATTTCAGAAGCTGGGACAATGAGGTCAGGAAAAGAGTTGGGCACAATAAAATTAGAGTCTATGGCTATTAGCACTGACAAACAAAGCCATTGCTCCTACCTAACTCCACTCCCCAGTTTTTGTGGACCAGTGATGTCCACAATTGTGCCCACCCTGAGTCCGGAAGTCAATGGCAGTCCACAGTTTCATTCCCACCAAATGCCCACTCACAGTCCTAGCTCTTGGAAACTCTAGGGAATCCTGTGAAAGAACCTGAGATCTACTAGGGGACTGGTATTAGCAATAAGGTAGGAAAGCCTTTAGAGATCTCTTTCTAACTCTAGCTCTAGCTCTAGCTCTCTCCTTCACACAGGGCCTCTTATAGCTGATTCTGGCCTGAAACTGGTTTATGTAGCTAAGGCTGCCTTGACTTTCCATGCTCCTACCTCCATCTTCCAGGTGCTATGACTCAGGTATGTGCCACCACACTCTATTTTACAGTGTTGGGGACTGAACCCAGGGCTTTGTGCATGCTAGGCAAACACTCTCAGTTCATCTCAAGCCCTGAGAGAGAATTTCCTAATTGTTAAAATTAAACATTTGCAGTAGCTTTTGCTAACCAAAAGAGAAGAGGTCTCTGGTTTCCATGTGTCATTCTTTTCTCTCTGAGTGTCTTTTAGAGTCTCTCTTCTTTGAATGTTAGATAGTGAGGGGTCTGGTTTAGTTCTTGTAGATATTAATAAGAAGCAGGAAAAATCAGGGTGGATTTTCTTCTGGTCTCTATGAGTCAGAGTTCTGGCTACCTCTTGAACCTACCAGCATCAGAATGGCCCACTGTACCAGCCAACCATGTCTTGGCTGGGAGGGAAAAAATGTCTAGTAGAAAGATAGCCGCCTTTCTGGAGGACAAAGGGGACACACTGCCTCAATGTGAGGGTTTGGGCATCTCTTAACTAAAGTAACTTATTTACCCAAAATGCCCTTGACATGTCGTCTCTGACCAAGGTGCCTACTTATCATTCCTGGCTCCCTTTTCCTTCAAATGCGTATTTCTTTGAAATCTAATTTCATAAAACCAAAAATTTCTAGAAAAGCTAAAAAATACCAAGGAGTAGTAAAATATGGAAATAACCCAGAATTTCACTATCCAAAGACACCCCACACCATTTTGAATCTGTGTTCATTTAGTTTTTCTTTTTCTGTGTATATTTATGAATATAACAAAGATAGACCTTGGCTGGTGTCTCTGTTGTGCTATTTTCAACTAGGAGTGTATTGTGCTCACTCCCAGAAATAAGGTCAATAAAGCATTTCAAAACGTTGCTTTTGGTGAGTGCTGCTGCCTCTGACCTTCCAGTTCCTCCACCCATTGCCCATTCTCACCACAACAAGCCAAGACCAACTGTATCCAAAAGCAGCAAGCAAGGAGATGCTCCACTTGAGGATGCTACGGGAGTTCTGGCACTGATTCAGAGGAATTTCTGTCCTTACAGGTGCAGCTCAACGAGGCAGGCACAGGGTGACTGCAAAACTAGGGTCTGCTTCAAAACTCACTGTGCCGGGAAGGTGTCCCAGACTGATGGTGCTTCATCTTATGACCCACCCACACCATCGAGCTGGTCTCTCTTCTTATTTGGTGCTCAAGTTACACTGTTACCACATAATTGTTACCACATAATTGACTCCTTCCAGGTGAGGGCTGTTCACATGTCATCTTTATACAATGGAGCTGGTAATGTGATGGTCTGAGCACTTTTGCTGGGGTGATCTCACTGCCCTGGGCTTTCACTTCCACACAGAAAAAAGTGGGAAAATACAGATTCTGAGCATCAAGGTGGACATCAACTCTCAATGTGCAAACCTCCCAGACCTCTCTGAAGTGTGGGAAAGGAACTTAACTAAACTAAGTATCCAATATTTTAGTAAAATAAAATGCATCAAAGCACAACCCTTGGACCATAATAATTTCATAATGAAGAGTGTAGGATAATATCTCCAATTTTTTAAATAATAATGTTTCTCTTTTTACAAAAGTAATAAATATTCAATGTGAACAATTAGAAATAGCTTTAAAAATACAACGCAGCCAGGTGTGGTGGTGCATACCTTTAGTTCCAGCATGAGAGGGGCAGGCAGATGTCTGTGAGATTGAGACCAGCCTATCTACATAGCAAGTTCCAGACCGGTTGGGGCTACACGAGACTCTGTCTCAAAAAAAATCCATAGCAGAGACAGAAAATGGTGGTAGTACCTGAAATTCTAGTACCCAAATTCAGCCTACAGCCTCTCTGAGCAACCTATCTTATAAATGACCATACAATAAATGCATACAGTAACATACAATATGTTTTGTGGAACGTCAGTCATGTTTGACCACAGCAGTCAGTAAATGGTAGCTGAATGGATGACTCTAAGCCTCCAGCCTAACCTATAAGTGAAGATGAGCTTCATACTTGCCTCATAAGTTGTTCTGTGACTAAATGAAATAAAGAAAGCAAGGTGAGGCAGTCGTCCTCCAAGTTTATCTGATCAGACATCTGACCCCTCCCTGTCGCCCCTTTCCTCACTTGCCCTATTCTCCCTAGATCTTCCTAACCATCTCTTTCTCCCTTCTGCCATGATCTTGTGTCCTGAGGTGCATCCCAACTTCATTAGTGTTCTTCTTACTGTTTATCCAATTCCCTCTTACAGAAAGGTTGTCAGATGAACATAAAGCGTTCCCTTATCCCATCCACACATCAACAGTATCCCCACAGCAATAGTTTGAAACATTTGTATGAAATTCACTATTTTCTGTCAGAGGGATTGCTTAATACATAGATGATAAAAGATAGATAGATGATAGATGATGATGATGATGATAGATAGATGATAGAGAGAGAGAGATAGATAGGTAGATAGATAGATGATAGATAGATAGATAGATGGATAGATAGATGATAGATAGATGATAGACAGATGATAGATACATAGATAGATAGATAGATAGATAGATAGATAGATAGATAGATAGATAGATAAATAATAGATAGATAGATAGATGATAGATAGATAGATAGATAGATAGATAGATAGATAGTAGGTAACTGGTGATAGTTGATAGATAGCTCTATAGATAGATGATATGTAGATACATATGTACATGATTAGATGGATCATGATTAATTGACATATACATAGATACATGGATGGATAGATAGTTATTCACCAGGCAATCCAGTAGATGGAAAGCTGTGGACATAAGCCACCACAGGATGATGCCTGCTTCCATCGTCACTATATAGCATATCAGTTATGGGTCCACTTTTTTCTAAATCTCACATTAAATAGTTATTCTCAGGACTGGAGAGATGCCTTAGCAGTTAAGAGCACTTGTTGATCTTACAGAGGACTCAGATTTAGTCCCCAGCACCCCCAGCACCCACCCACCCACTGTCTGCAACTCCAGTTTCAGGGGACTGAACTCCGTCTTCTGGCCTCTGCAGGCACCTGCACACAGGTGGTGAAACTACACACATAAATAAAAATAAATGTAATTTTTAAAATAAATATAAATAAATTGTTCTTGCCTGTGCTAATCTAGAACCCCACAGGCAAGGAGTTCTAGGAAATGTAGTCCCAACTGAATTCGACTGGCACACAAAACCTCCACAATGAGTGGTGCTTCTTCTATCCTCTTGTCAATGCTGTCCAACTTTCAACACAAGAACATCATAAGGAAAATTATATTTTATGAACAGAAAGGAAGAAATGAAGGATGAAAGGAAAAAAGACAAAAGGAGGGGGAGAAGACATGTAGGGAAGAGAGACAGAGAAGGAATGATAAGCAGGTGTTTCTTAGAAGACAAACAAGAGACAAACATTCCAAGATAAGGGTGTAATGTGAACAACGCCCAGAAGCATGACACCCTTGGGTCACAGCACAAAGCTTGGTGTGATCCCCACATTGCGTAGAGGCATGGGGCTGTTCAGGGCAAGAGCATGGGCTGATGAGCTGGGCATCACCAAAGTGGGAGGTCATGATAAGACAGAGACTAAGCTTCCTGGTCAGGAGAAAACTCACAACACACAGGAGCACAGGCTTTAAAGGACAGGTGTTTACAAGTCAGAGGCCAGGAATTGGCGTTTTGACATGTCTCTGAGCCTTACTTTCCACATGGGTAGTTAAAATAACAATAGTTATAAAGACTTTGACAAACATCAAGTCCTGACAGGAACTCGACCCCTGTTGTCCCCACACCTGTTGGTCCCCACTGCCCCCTGTTCCCCCAGGTCCCCTGCAACAGCCTCTTCCTATGTTGTAACAATGTATTTAAAGCTATGCTGAGGCCCAGAACTGCACACAAACTTTATTAATAGCATCAGTCCTGCAGTGGCCCTATTTGCAAGCCTTATAAGATTTTCCTTGAAAGGAAGCTTAGGTGCTTTTCTCTGAATCAGAGTCACACACCTGTGACTTGGGTACCCTGCATTCCTCTGATGTCTTCAGGAAGCTGACACACTCAGTAATTGGCACTTGATATCACTTAAGTACCTGCAAAGACAAATATTTTGCCCATCGGCATTTCTTAATTTGATATTTGGTTCCGAGAAGGAGAAAAAAATGGGGAAGTCACCTCCACACTTTAAATTTTGAATGGGTCTTTGCAAAATTGCAGAAGCGGAAGCAATTTTAATTTACTTCTCTTTGTCAAAACATTTTTATCTTCACCAGGAAACAAAACAGGGAGTAGTCTTGAAACAGTACTAAACATACGGCCATAAAAGTTGCAGCTGCTGCCCATGGCTGTGTAAACACTCAAGGAGATCTAGAAACCTCCAAGAGTTCCAGCAGCCAGCTGCAACAAGAAGAAATGGACTGTTCTTTCCTCTCTATGCATCTTTGTTTATTCAGAGTCAGAAGGGGGATAAATAATCAGCAAAAAAGAAAACCCCAAGGGGACGGATCATATAGAATCAGTGACGTGCTGGAGACGGTGATGCAGTTAACAAGAACCAGCTGTGCAGCCTTCCCACCTTCATGAGTTGGGTCTCAGTGGCAGTTTGTAATTGAACATGGATTGAGTAATTACATCAGAGAAACTGGTGAATGTTACAAATCAAGACTTTTGTCCAGAGACAGTTGCTAAGCACTTACCAGCACCCCATTTTTGTAATGTGCTTATGGAATGAAGTATTGAACTATTATCAATAAAACATTATATGAAAGCATTTCATAATAAAGTTGTGAATATAAAAATGAACTTGGACCCTCATCTACATCGCACACAAGAATTAACTCAAAATGAGTCATAGATGACTTAAATGTAAAGGTTAAAACAATGAAACTTTTAAAAGAAAACACACAAGTAAATTTTTAGAACTTCCAGATAAGCAAAGATTTCTTGTGTGCTTTTATGTGTATGTGTCTACCTCTGGGGGGAAGTATATGTGTGCACATATGCATAGGAAGGTCAGAGGACAATCATCATTCCACAGGAGTCATCCACCTGTTTTTTGAGATAGGATCTCTCACTGGCATGGAACTCACCAAGTAGGCCAGTGAGTCCCTGGGATTACAAGTGCATGTCCATACCTGTATTTTTTTACATGGTTGATGAAGCTCAAACTCAGGTCCTCATGCTTGAAAAGCAAACACTTCACTGACTAAGCTAGATCCCCAGCCCTTAGGCAAAGATTTCATATATATACATATATATAATTTATTATTTTTATTTTATGTGTATGTATGTATTGCCTGCATGTAGGTAAATGCCCACAGAGGACAGAAGAAGCTGTCAGATCCCTGGAACTGGAGTTACAGACAGTAGTTAGCTGCCATGTGAGTTCTGGGATTTGAACCTGGGTCTTCTGCAAGAATAGTCAGCATTCTTAACTGCTGAGCCATTTCTCCAGCCTGGCAAAGATTTCTTAAACAGAACAACAACAAAATACATAGTTCAAAAATGACAAATAAAATAAAGTGAATTTCATCAAAACTTAAAACTTTTGCATTCCAAAGACTCCATTAAAAGCATGGAAAGACAAGAAATACAATGGAAGAAAATATCTGTAAAACGTATGTCTAAAAGACTTGTATTCAGAATTTATAGAGCTCAGACATTTCACTAAAGAAGGTAGGCATATGGCTGATGAAGTGTGGAAATTGCTCTGTATCATTCAAGAAATGAAATTACAAATCAAAATTACAATCACGTTGCTTTTTATATCCAATTGAATGCCTATGAAAAATAATTAAGTCATATACAACAAATGTTAGCAGAATGTGGGTATGTAAAACCTCACACACTGTAGATGGGGCTGTAAAATGGTGTGGCCCCTT